CAAGATCTCATACAAGCTTGACATGTCATCGTATCTTAAGATCTACCCTGTCTTCCATGCCAGTATGCTTAAGCCATATCATGAATATAAGGATGATCCGAGTAGGGGCCAATCAAGTCGGGCGCCAATGACTGTCACCGCCTCGCATGATCGGGAGATCGAGGCTATCATAGATTACCAGGCCAGGCGAAAACAATGGCAAAAAGCCACCGCTATGTTCCTCGTCCATTGGAAAGGGCAATCACCAGAGGAGGACACGTGGGAACGATATGAAGACTTGTGGCAATTCAAAGATAAGATCCGAGAGTTTATGCAGCAATATTGCGCCGCGGTCGTCGCAATATTGGGTGGGGGAGACTGTGATAACCCGCCATGTCATCATGCCACATAGGCGCCATTTGGCATATATTAATGCCATGTGTAAGCTTACATAAGAAGAAGGCTAGCATTTGTGAGAACATTCTAGGGAGGTATGGACATTTCCTTAGGAAGAACCTAGATCCTTATGGATTTGCTAAGAAAGTCCTTGGAATCTTCTAGGTTTGTAGAAAATTCTAGAAAAAAGCCCTTATCTTGTAAATATCAAGGACTTGTGTAATAATTAATATTTACACACTAGCCCCTAGGAGACTAGTATATAAAGGGGGTCATTCTTTTGTAATTCATCAAACAAACAATTCAAATTCTCTCTAATACAAAGCTTCCTTTACATAGCAAGAACGTGAGCAAGTTGTGCAAGATCGTGAGCGAGTTATCAAGTGCTGCACGTGTACTTAGTTAACAACTAAGGACGTGACAAAAAGCTCTTAAAATTATATGGGAGTTAATATCTTTATTTTTATGTTCAATCAAACAAAATTCTGAAGGATGAGAACTTATAGCAGAATTCAAAAACAGAGTTTTTGTCTGTCTACATAATAGATATCTACATCTCATCTTTGTCTGAAAACAATATTCAGAACCATATAGAAATCTTTCTAGGTTTGTGATTTAATAGCACATCCACCCAAGCTCGCAAATCTATTCAAAATAGTTTCTACAGGACAAGAGTTTTCTTTCCTGGCAATACACATAGGGTCTAAATTTCTTCTCTTGTTTTCTAAATATTTTTTTGGCACACCTCTGATCACTAATTCCTAAAGAATTTAGGAAAGTGAGGCAGGTAAAACAGCAGATGCCTGGTGCATTTCAACCCTGAAGAGACTAAGAGAGGTGTCACCATTGAGCTTGAAGGTTTCTTTAAGATCAGTAAGTTCCTTTTGAACATTTTATCCTGTAACATGCCCACCTGCATTCTTGGATGACACTCCACAAAGTGCTTTTTCTAACAGATACGTGAAGGAGATTTCAAACTCTTGACCAGTGCATAATTCGTGAGTATCGAATGACATTACAAGCATTCTTTGGACGAATTACTCGTGACTACTGTGAGGTACAGCATGTTTCTTGAATCTGGTTCAATTAGTAGAAGCTATGAGTCCTTGCAACTGAAACTGCACCCATGTCTTCTTACAGGGGGTTCGAGCACGGATGTTGGATAAAGATCTTTCCCCCAAGGTAAACCCTTTTTTTTGGGCACTTCATTGAGTTTGATGTGTCTTCACAGAAATAATTTATGTGTAGAATCAATTTTTTGAAGTCATTGATTAAAGATAAACGTTAGGGGCATGTGATGGTAGTATTAAGTGGTGGGTGAGGCATAAGGATTCATCATGAAGGCTGCCAGCCTACAAAACAAGGGTAAGGCATAAGCCTAATCTTCTATGATAGTCATAAATAGTAAAGGGTGAAAATAATTTATTCATGTGGAGCAACTGTATGGAGTAAGATTGTAGGTAGTTGTAGAAAACAATTTACACCTCTAAAGCATGCATTTTTGTAACTCATTCGGGCAGAAAAACATTCTCAATAGTTTGTTACAGTTTAAGCCGAACCTTGAGGTCCTATACAATTGAACTATTCTTTTTCCAGTTTCAAAAACACATATACAATTGAAAGGGAGAACAAGCTGACACAAACAATAAAAAACACACACAAATAAGCACAAATCAGGGAATATTGTTACATAATGCTAATCAGAGCATCCACTCTGTTGGGGTCTGTCTTATGAGCACTCAAGGGCATGGCCTAGCGGTCAATGAGGTGGGAGAAAATCTTGAAGACCAGTGCTCAAATCCGAACAAGGACAAAAAACGTTAGGTGACTTGTTCCCATTTGTTAAAGTTTTGGTGAGTAAAGTTACCCAGCACATGATGTTACCACCTCAAAAAAAAAAAGGGAAAGAAAAAAGAGTTACCTGGTGCTATGCGGTGGGAAGTAGCAAGTGCTTGGTGCCCTGGTGGAATAGTCAAGGTGAATGCAAGTTGGTCCAAACATCACCGTTATATCTGTCTTGTGGATAATGCCGCCTAAGTCCATTTTCTGTAGTAATCTGGCCGTGCTTACCTACTGGAGATTTTTGTTTCAGCTAACAATAGTTCAGTTCTTAGAGCAAAGCTAGTTGCCAGTTTTTGAATTGACTTACTGTTTGACATCACATGCAGTGGGATCCTCCAAGCTTGGAACATGTAACGAGTGACATGGTAGATGAGTATTTTTCTCCTCTAACAGCGTTGGAACCGGATTTGGAGCTACCGACACAGCAACGGGAAGCTTTCGCGTAGCCTCTGGGAAGGACAACAGTAATTTCCCTATTATTCTTCCCTTGGCTGACCACAGGCCAAATAAAAGAAAGGCTTACCTGTGCTTATGTAACATTCTTATTACTGGTTTCATTGGATGAATGAAATTAAGAGAGCATTGAATATGTATGCCTTCTATATAACCTTAGTTGAATTCTGAAAAAGGACAACGGATCTAAACTGCCAGTGAATTGGTCGAGGAAATGAGCAAGCAGCAGTACTTTCTGACAGAAACTAAATAAAAATGAATCAATAATACATCGAAAAATGTTATCCAAAAGAACGCCAATCCTCCAGGGGATTAAGACGGAGATCCCATCTCCCCTTCTCTATTGGTCTTATCCTCTGAACTCCTCTCCAGAATGGTCAATGTGATTACTCAATGCCAAGATTTTATCCCTTACAAGATGAGGAAACAAGGTCCTTGTATCGCTCATTTAACTTATGCGGATGATACTATCTTATTCAGCTCTACTGACACCACTTCTGTTGAGATCATCAAGCAATGCTTAGATGATTACTCCAATACTTCTGGGCAACTGATTAACCTCAGCAAATCTCATTTTTTCTTACATCCTAATGCTCAGGATAATCAAGTACAGTTTATAAAAACCTTACTGGTTTCTCCAACAAGAACTTCCCATTTACTTACCTTGGTGTCCCTATCTACTTGGGAAGAGAGAAAATTGAATTCTTCAGTGATTTTTATGATAAGGTGGGTAGAAGAATTCAAGGCTGGAATGGAAAACTTATGTCCTTTGGAGGTAAACTATCCTTATGAAGGTTGTCCTCTATTCCATACCCATGCATATCCTTGCAGTTTAAAAAACCACACTCCAAATTATTGAAAAGCTGTCTTGTAACTTTTTGGGACAATTCAGGAGAAGGTAAAAAACATCACTGGTTCTCTTGGTCCTCTATGTGCTTTGGTAAAAATGAAGGAGCTGGTTTTAGGTCCATCCATGACATAGACAAGGCCTTTGCAACTAAGTCATGGTGGGTCCTTAGAACAAAAAATTCTCTATGGAAACCTGGTCTTTCCCATATTTGGAGAAGAATGATGGATATAAAAGCTGAGTCTGAGAAACATATTAAGGGGTCGTTTGGTATGAGGTATAAGAAGGTATAAGGGTGGTATAAAAATGTAATACCACCTTAATACTCTGTTTGGTTAGCAAACCATGTATAAGTTATCCCGGTGTTAATTTGAACACTGGGATAACTTATACCTTATAGAAGGTGGGGTAATTAGCACCGGTATAACTTATACTTTCTTCTTAAAAATTATACAATTATCATTCTTAATAAAACATACCAAACAATGAATAAACAACAATCCCAGCATAACTAATCCCAACATAACTTATCCCAATATAACTTATACCGGTATAAATCCTATTCGAACCAAACGACCCCTAAGTGGAGACTTTTTAATGGAAGGGCCTCTTTCGGGTGGGATAACAGGTCAGAACATGGCTCCTTAGCCAAGTTTATAAATGACCCTAATAAAGGGAAGGAGACAGTTGTAGACTTCATTCATAAAGGTCACTGGAACCTTTCTGCTCTTGAGAATGTTCTTCCTAGTTCCATTGCCAGGTATCTCTCTCTGATTAAGGCTCCTGATGGCTCCAAACTAGATCAGCCTATATAGACCATTACCAATGATGGTTCATTTTCCTATAAATCTGCATGGCATCTTTTCAAGCAATCTAGAAAGGTTACCTACTCTACTAGTAATATTTGGTATAAAGGGATCTCTTTCAAAATATCTTTCTTTATGGTGAGATTAATTCATAACAGATCGCCTATTGATGAGAGATCAGTAGAAAATTTGGATTTGTTGGTTCATCTATGTGTTCTTTCTGTAAAACACCTAAATATGAAATCATTGAACATGTTTTCATTAGCAGTGAAGGGAAGGGGCATCAACTGCTTGGGACTTGTTTGGTGGTTCTTGTGGCTTGAAAACTACCAACAGATTGGGACAAACTCTTTCCAACTGGTGGTTAACAAAGTCCAAGAACAATTTTCACTCTTTTTTACTTTACTGTCTTCCCATGCATATGTTGGGAATTTTGGAAACAAAGATGTGCTATTAGATATGGAAGTGGAAAATATTTTGTTAAGAAACTTTTGCTCCAAATCCAGAACAGGATCTGCGTTCTTATTAATGTCAAGTTCCCATTTTTGCCCATCTTTTCTGAGTGGAAACATTTGATCCAAGCTGTGGAAATATGTAAACCTTTACTAAAGGTTATCGCTATCACATGGATTAAACCACCTGATGGTTACCTAAAACTTAACATTGATGGATGCAGCAAAGGAAATCCAGGCTTTGCGGGAGGAGGATGCTTAAGAAATTACTATGGAAATCTAATTATAGCTTACTCAATTTTCTTTGGTTCCTACACTAATAATATGGCTGAAGCAAAGGCTATTCTAGATGGCTTGGAGTGGTGCATTGTCAATAGATACAAGGAGGTCGAAATTGAATCTGATTCTTGTTTGACCAAAAATTGTTAAGCTTTTTGTTAAACTAATTAATGAGAAAATAGAGGATAAATCCTAGCCAAGGATAATTAGCTCTAGATCAAAGTGCATTAAATAGGAGAATAAGATATAGTCTTGATGTATGACATGCTTACATTCTTGATGTAAGCATCAAACCTTTAAGACTTATAAAAGATATCGAATATAAATGACATGCTTACATTCTTGATGTACTGTTCCATAATGTAAGAATAAAGAAGGAAAAGAAGGAATGCTATTAACAGCTGTGAGATCTATCTTTATTGATTCAAGAAAGATGATTACAAAGATTTGCCGCCTAGATCCGAAACTTCTCTTATTTTTCTCCTGTAGCATTCTCCGGTTCTTCTGCCTCTTTTTTTCTAAAAGAGACCAGACCCCCTTTTCTGGTTATCTTCCCCCTATATATATAGTAAGTATTCCCTTTTATCCAATGGTTCTTATCCAGAATGCTTTAATCCATTGATTGTACGTTGGGTTGTTCCCCTTAAATGTCTCGACATATACTTTGTTGTACAAGCTTTCTGATAGTTCGATCCCGGCAGCAACCGAGATACTCGTTGTTATGATATCTTATGAATACGACCACAGCTTAGTCGACCCCTCGCCATTCCTTTTAATACTGATCCTTGTGTAGTCAGATTTCAACACATACAGCTAGTTCCCCTATTGAGGTCACCTCTTGGCGAGCTCGATGGGCGGACTCTGTTGATTCGAGAAGGGGAAATCTGAACGTTTATTCAAGAGACAAGCACCTCATGGAGAGGTAGAGATGTGACGTTTCGAGAACTGCGTCAGACCGTTACGTCAGTTCATAATGTCATTAATATTTTTCATGCGTCATTATGGCGCACGTTTTCTATGTTTTGCATCGTTAATCGTGCCTTTTCCATTTTTTAACTGGCGGTGCTTGGTTTTCCCGCTCAGGGCATTTATATCCCTATAAATAGGTGAGAATCTCTCATTTGAATGTTACGCTTCTTAATCGCTCAAGAGAGAACTTTGCAACTCTTCTTCTCCAGTTTCTTAAATTTCTGTTTTTGTTAGGATTTGCTGCGACCACCACCATTTTCCCTTATCATTCTCATTTCTTTAGACCAAAGAGAAAATGGTCAGTGTTTCTTCCTACGCTGATAGAGTTATTGGTGCTCCGGTGCCGGAAGATGACGTACCCCTACTTGGAGAAGGAGTGGAAATGGCGAAAGACAAGGGTTTTCCAACGGTGGATGAGGTGGTTCCCCGCCCAAGGAAGGAGAGGACCGACTTTAATAGCCCTGCCATAGATGAGCGGGAGCCCGTTCCTTCTACGATGGATGCTGCGGCGCTCACGACGTTCAGAGCCAAATGAGGGATCCCTGATCATATTGAACTGGTGCCGACGGATCAGGACATAGTGCATTTACACCGTCCGAGCTACTGCGCATTTTATGCGTATCCCTTTGTCATCGGGTACACGCTTCCCCTTCTTTCCTTGGTGGTGGAATTTTGCCGCTTCTATGAGGTGTGTCCAGCTCAACTCTCTTCGTACGCGTACAAGCATTTCCTTATTCTCATCAAGTACGCAGAGCTGGCTGCCCGAGGAATTTCTCTACGATACATGCTTCACCTCTTCGCCCCCCATTTTCTTCGGGGTACGATAATTCACATGCGTCACTGTGGAGCCAAGAGTTTGGTGGTGAAAATGGACGACAAGGCAAATTGCCGCTTTTGGAAGAGCTTCTTCTACATCCAAACAGAGCACGTCGTGTCGAACCCGGCAGGGTTTCCTAAGACGTGGAATTTTGCCCGTAGGTCTTCTTTTTCTTTTTACTATGCATTTTCTCTTAAGATCTCGTCTCCCTTTAATGACCTCATTGAGGGTTTGTTTTTGTTTTTGCAGCCGAGAGGGTACCCCCTCCGCCAGTTGCTGATATTCGCGAGTGGGTGAGCGCTATTCTTCCCCATATGGTGGGATTCACGAATGGGCACCTTTCCATGAGAAGTTTGGGCGCAAGCCTCTTGTTGGTGAGTCTGCTCGTTGTGGACTGTTACTTTGTTCTTTGCTCCGTATTTTCTTTTACCTTATCTTTACTTGATAGAATCTCTTTTCATTGGTAAGTCGGAGAGGAGTGAGAAGGACGAGGGCTCCTGCGCTCGCTTTCTGCCAGCCGGCTTTCTCTACTCAACCCGTTCAAAAGACACATGTGGGTGAGAGCACCCAACGTGTGGTTGCACGGAAGACCATGTCAGCGATCGGGCTTGTTCGTTTGGAGGTTGCTCCCCGGTCAGATATTCCAGTTCTCGCCGTCCGTTCAACGGGCGAGCCTTCTCGCAACAGTAGCGAAGAGGCACCGTTAAAGATGCGGAGGTTGTCAGAGGGAGCGTCTTTGGTTGAGACGTCCTTGAGGGGAGACCCTACTTTGGCGGTATCTGGAGCTGGTGGTGACACCGATCGGGGTGCGGAGGCAACGCCTATTCCGGTTGCGGAAGAGACCACCGTGGCGGGGGATAGAGTTCGGAGGCTGTCGCGATTGTTCCTAGCGGCCCATCGTCATCTCTGCAGAACTGCTCCCCTTCTTTGGCCAATGAGAAGGGGAAAGGCGTGATTGTGGATGATTATGAATCGGATTCCGACATCGACCATAAGGATATGAGGATGTTCGAGGAGGGCTTTACCA